GGGGGAGGGATGAGGGAGGAGGAAGGAGTGACGAGGAGGACGGGGGAGGAGGGAGGAGGGAGGAGGGAGGATAGAGGAGGATGTAGGAGGGAGGAGGGAGGAGAGAGGCGGGAGGTGGGAGGGAGGATGGAGGAGGGAGCGGGAGGAGGGAGGAGGGAGGCGGGAGGAGGGAGGAAGGATGAGCAGGGTTGAGGGAGGAGGGAGGAGCGAGGATTGAGGAGGAGGACGCGGAGGAGGACGAGGACGAGGATGAGGATGAGGATGATGATGATGATGATGCTGATGATGGTGATGATGATACTGATGATGGTGATGATGATGATGATGATGATGATGATGCTGATGATGATGATGATGATGCTGATGATGATGATGATGATGCTGATGATGATGATGGTGATGATGGTGATGATGATGCTGATGCTGATGTTGATGCTGCTGATGATGATGATGAGGAGGATGAGGATGCTGATGATGATGATGATGGTGATGATGGTGATGATGATGATGATGCTGCTGATGATGATGTTGCTGATGATGATGATGATGATGATGATGATGGTGGGGTGATGGATGATGTGGATGATGAGATGATGTGCTGATGATGTGATTGATGGCTGATGCTGTGCTGATGATGATGACGATGACGATGATGATGATGATGATGATGATGATGATGATGATGATGATGAGGATGATGCTGTGATGTGATGATGATGTTGTCATGATGATGATGATGATGATGATGATGATGATGATGGATGAGGAGGGTAGAGGGGAGGAGGAGGAGGAGGATGAGGGAAGGGCTGGAGGAGGAGGAGGAGGGAGGAGGGAGGAGGACGAGGCAGACGAGGATGACAAGGACGAGGAGCCTCTTTCAACTCGTGCGCCTTCGCGGCCCCCTGCTGCCCCCCAAAATGGGGTCCCAACTCGAGCGCGGAGCGGGCGAGGAGATGGAGCACACGCTTCACACGATCAGCCCCAAGATGAAGTTCTTCGCCGTCAAGGGCCTGCTGCTCGTCATCTTCTGGCAGGATCCCTCGCCGCCCTCTGGCATCGTCGCACAGCGTCCTTGCCGCGCCATCTCCTTCACCTCCTCCTCCTCCTCCTCCTCCTCCTCCTCCTCCTCCTCCTCCTCCCTCGACGTCATCGCGTCCAGCGAGCTTCGATCGTCCAGCGTAGTTCGGTGGAGTACTGGTGGAGTGCCTGCGGCTGAAAACAAGAGGGTCCCCTTTTGTCCTCGTCCTCCCTGTCCCCCTCCTCCACTTCCTTCTCCGAGGTATGTGGCCCAGAGCTCGTGGCAACGCCAGGCTGGCCAGCAGGGAGCAAACGGGGTGTCTGAAAAATTGTTTCGGTTCAGTGACCGACGCTGTCGCCATATCAGCAACTCCGTAACATTCTCCATTTCACCTTCCTCCCCTTCCCTCTCCCTCTGGGAAGGCCCCCCTCAAGCAGCTCCCAGCAGTTCCTTTCGGAGCTGCAGCTCCAGGATGCCCCCTTGAAGGCCTCCGAGCTGTTCTGAGCCCAGCCTCCGTGCTCGCTCTTCCTTGTCTTCTCCGCTCTGTCCGTGTCTCCTCCGCACGGGCTCTCGACTACGTCGTTCTAAGTTGCAGGCGTTCGGCTGACTCGCGGGCTGCATCTGTTGCGGCGTGCTGGCGCAACAGGACCTCGATCCCACACGCGCCGCTTCTTCAGGGTTTCTCCGCGTCCTCAGGGCCTTGCGCCTCTAGACTCCAGCGATGCTCGTTTTGCTGACCTTTTGGCTTCTCGGTTCGGATGTGTATGTGTGTGGTTGTGCGTGATGTCGCGTGTGAATTGAGTGCGGCATCGTCCCTCGATGCGCGTGCTCAATGCTGAACACTGAGCTTCATTCCCTCGCTCTCTTCCATGGCTAGTCCTAAGCTAGTCTCCACGCATGCTGCAGCCCACGACGGGTTGCATAGTTCGATTTGCAGGGCATGATCGTGTCTTCCAGGAACAGGATCATCCATCTGGCCGCGGCGAGCCATACTCGCTTTTCTGTGCGAGAACCTTGTGATGCAGTCCATACGTTGGCGTCGTTCTCGATGCAGCACGCAATCTCTTCTAACCATGCGTTGCCGACGCTGTAGTTCAATCCAAGCTGTATATTCTCTGACTAGACTCCGTGGCTCTTCAGCTACTCCAGATTTCGTAATAAAGGGAGGGGGGTCTCATTTCGGGGGGGGGTCTCTTCCAGGCTATCTTGGAGGGCCTGGGGGGGTCTGGGGACGATGTTTTGGAGGGTTCTCGGGGGGGGGTCTGAAATGGCTTGTCTTGGAGGGTCCAGACCCCCTCCCCTTTATTACGAAATCTGGAGTACTCACCCACACTTCATGTATTTTGGCCCGTGGGTGGTGCATCGCACCTGACGGTCTTGAAGATCAGCAATTGTCGTCGACCACCTCTCGGCCGTGTCTGGCATTGCTGCTGAGGTGCCCCTCCTCTGCCTCGCGCCCGGCGTCGGCACGCCCAGGATGACGCCAGCTCTCCCGGGGAGGCGCAGATGGCTTCCGGAGCACCTCCCACGAGGCCCAGAGGGCCCCATAGGTTGGGAACCCCCAAACCGGGTGGTGAGATACCAGGTGGCGACCTGGAATCCCCAAAAAGGTCACCGCTGGGTTTGGGGACGCGGGGTCACCACCGGGTTTTGTGACTCCTGGACCCACCAGTGTCCGGGACATCCTCGGAAAACCGCACGAGTCCCCAAACCGGGTGGTGACACCAAATCGCCCGAGACTCACCGCCAGGTGTTGTCACCACCACGTTTGGGGACTACCAATAGGCTCCCAAATGGCGCGAGAAGTAAAGTGGAGACCCATGTCAAGCAGCACCCTTCTTGCCTCCAGGGTGGGGGGCGTCTTGGGGCCATCTCGGGCCGTCATGGGGCTCTCTTCGGGTTATTATGAGACTTTGTTGGGCCGTTCTGAGGCTTTCTTGGAATGCCTGGAAGACCTCTGTGGTAGTTGTGGGGCGACTTTCGGACCTCCTGGGCCGTCTCACTCGCCCAGAAGACCGAAAACTGGAAGACGATTCACAGACAGAGGTCGTGGCGCATGGCATCCAACGTAGCCAACCACGAGCCCACCAGGTGGACGTGGCGTGCACTGCACTTACAAGCAGGAGAGAACTCACGGCAACGTGGCCAGAGACACCACGGCGGCCAGCGCAAGCGTTGTGACGACGACCTCGTCAGTTTCATTCAAGAACATCGACCCGACCTGCACCCAGCGCCCACACCAACCAATGAGCAGGGCAAACCGAACGACCTCACTTGGGTTCGCTCAGCTCAAGACACCACCACGTGGTCGATATTCTTGCACAAATACATCAGCACTTCGCCGACATTCACAACCAGGACTTTCTCCTCCTCTCTTCCTCCGTCATAACTTCTTGTGTGTTGCGCAGATTCATTTTTTTTGCATGATCTCCTGCACATCTGTATGTTTACAGGAGGCCACGGCCTCGCCCACCTGGTCTTAGCAGGCCCGGACAGCTGTCCGATGTGGTGGTTCGTTCGTAATACCGAAGAGCAGAGCCCTCCCCAATTCGTACAAGCATCAGTGGGACATCATTGGCTTTGCGTTTCGAAAGCCTCTTTATGGTCTTCTTTGGGTTGTCTTCAGGCGTTTGGTGGGTGACTGGGGACTCCTGGGGATATATGTGTGGATGTAGGTATCAATGTATATATGTATGTGTGTATGTATGGGTGTGTGTATGTATGTATGTATGTATGTATGTATGTATGTATGTATGTGTGTATGTATGTATGTATGTATGTATGTATGTATGTATGTATGTATGTATGTATGTATGTATGTATGTATGTATGTTTCACACATGCTATATATACATAATATATAAACATATAGATATGCACATTATGTATATGTGAATGCACATATATATATTTATCCCAGGCCCAAAACCATTCACTAAAGCAAGTCACTCACGCAATTGGTTTGCCATGATTGGTGTTGAGTTCTTTGTTTGTTCTCGACTCTATCCTCTCGTTGACTACCAGGGGAGGCATCCCAAAGACATCAACGTGTAACCCGCCAGACCTGGAACCAATATGAATAAACCTGTAGTCGGCCACAACACGAGTGAATCTGTAGTCGGCCAGAGAAGAAGCCCCTTTGCCAAAGCTTTGCCACGGAGGGAATGTATTTGGAACGTTTGCGCAACGAGGAATCCATGACCTGAGATCGCTACGAAACAGACGCAAAGTCATTAACACCATACGGAAGTATTCTTCAGCAGAGACAGAACGATACGGAGCACACATAAGCAGAGCAGTAGAGGCAGAGAGGCAGGCAGAGCACACATAAGCAGAGCACACATAAGCAGAGACAGGCAGTAGAGGCAGAGCATCCTCAGATAAAACAACATTTTGGCCTCACGGGGGGCGGGAGAGGCCGATCACCGATCGCGCCCGGCCGCTGGAGGGCATCATCCTCAGCGTCCTGCCGCTCGACGCCTGGACCGCTCAGCGAGCGCTCTCTCCCCTGGGGGCTGGGGTGTGGCGAAGGCGGCGCCCGTCGCGAGCGGCGAATCTATATATATATATATATATATATATATGTATATATATATATATAGATGTGTGTGTATCCGTATCCGCGCCGTCGCGGTCTGGATTCTGGGGCGCGATCCCGCGGACATGCGGTCTCACGGGTACGTTCCGCGCGAGGCATCAGAAAAAAACACGCCCTTTACCCGCGGGATCGCGGCTCAGTGGCCCGGCCTGCGAGGCCGCGGATAAGGACATGTTTCCATGGGCTTGTGCCTCACACCTGGGGGCGGCTCGTTGCTGCCGTGCAGCCAAACCTTCAGATGGGGAAGAGGTGCCGCAGGTGGCGGAGTGGGAAAAGCTACCCAGACAACCTGTCGGCCTTTTTTTTTCGAGTCGGGCGATTTCGCCTAGACCTTCCCAGATCGATCCGACTCACAAATGTTGCAGAAATATGGGGTCAACGGCTGCGGTCCTGATCCCGCACGGCGTTTTTTTCGTGATGTCGGATTTCCAGATGCCGATGCCGCCGCTCGTCTTGGAGAGCCTTCGCTGCCACGGCTGGATTTCCTACGAACTGTTGGTCATAACGTACCTTGAGAGAGGTCCAGGAGGTAGCGTTGTCGGTACTCGTCGTTCTCAAATTGGGATTGAGGAAACAGTTTTCCGAGCAATGCACCCTGCCATCACATCCTTTGGTTCTGGGCATCGCTGGCGTGTTTTGACCTCGGGCCAGCGGTGACGGTGCCATGGCCTCTTGGTGCGTCTAGGTGCTCTGCATCCCACTGTCTTCCGTCCTTATGTCTGGTTTGAGTGTGGTAGTTCATGACCGTCGAAGGTTTTGGATGGTTTCGGAATCTTCTTGCTAAGGGGTCAGACCCAGGAGCCGGTTCAATCGGCTGCGCCTTCGACGGGAGCCGTCGGGGGATGCCCACATGTTCCCGAAGGACCTCCCGAGGTCCGACGCATTTTGTTTTCAACTACTGGTTCTGCGCCCCGCCTTACTCTTCTGGTGCTCCGCCGAGTGGAGTGGTTGGCGCGTCGGAGGAACAGACACGGAGCAGCGTGCGCGTGTGGTGTGTCCGTGGCTGTGTCTGTGCCTGTGTCTGTGTCCGTTTCCGTGTCCGTGTCTGTGTCCGTTGCCGTGTCCGTGTTTGTGTTTGTACCCGTGCTTGCGTTTGTGTTTGTGTTTGTGTCCGTGTCCGTGTCCGTGTCCGTGAGCGTTTTTGTGCCTGTTTCTGCGATTATGTTTGTGTCTGTGCCTGTGCCTGTGCCTGTGTCCGTTTCCGTGTCCGCGTCTGTGTTTGTGTTTGTGTTTGTTTTTGCGCTTGTGTTTGTGTTTGTGCCTGTGTCTGGGTCCGTGTTCGTGTCCGTGTCCGTGTCCGTGAGCAATTTTGTGCTTGTGTCTGTGCTCGTGTTTGTGTCTGGTTCTGTGCCTGTGTCTGTGTCCGTTTCCGTGTCCGTGTCTGTGTGTGTGTGTGCTTGCTTCTGTGTCTGTGTTTGTATATGTGCCTGTGTCTGCGTGTGTGTCTGTGTCTGTGTCTGTGTCTGTGTCCGTCTTCGTGTCCGTGTCCCTGACCGTGTTTGTGCTTTTGTCCGTGCTTGTGTGTGTGTGTCTGTGTTTGTTACTGTGTCTGTGTCCGTCTCCGTGTCAGTGTTTGTGTCTGTGCTTGTGTTTGTGTTTGTGCCTGTGTCTGTGTCTGTGCCTGTGCCTGTGTCCGTGTCCGTGTCCGTGTCCGTGACCGTTTCTGTGCTTGTGTCTGTGCCAGTGTCTGTGTTTGTGTTTGTGCCTGTGCCTGTGTCCGTTTCCGTGTCCGTGTCTGTGTCTGTGCTTGTGTTTGTGTTTGTGCTTGTGTTTGTGTTTGTGTCTGTGTCTGTGTCTGTGTCTGTGTCTGTGTTTGTGTCGGTGTCTGTGTCTGTGTTTGTGTCTGTGTCCGTGTCTGTGTCTGTGTATGTGCTGGTGTTTGTGTCTGTGTCTGTGTCCTTGTCCGTGTCCATGCCTGTGCCTGCGTCTTCGGCTGCGTCTGTGTCTGTGTCCGTGTTTGTGCGTGTGTCTGTGTGTCTGTGTGTCTATGTGTCAGTGTTTGTGCCTGTGTCCGTGTCTGTGGCTGTGTTTGTGTCTGTGTCTGTGTCGGTGTCCGTGTCCGTGTCTGTGTCTGTGTCTGTGTGTCTGTGTGTCTGTGTGTCTGTGCCTGTGCCTGTGTCTGTGCCTGTGTCTGTGTCCTTGTCCATGTCCGTGTCCGTGACCGTGTTTGTGTCTGTGCCTGTGTTTGTGTCTGTGCCTGTGCCTGTGTCCGTGTCCGTGTCCGTGTCCGTGTCTGTGTTTGTGCTTGTGCCTGTGCCTGTGTCTGTGTCTGTGCTTGTGTCTGTGTCATTGTCGGTGTCTGTGTCCGTGTCCGTGTCCGTGTCCGTGTGTGTGTTTGTGTTTGTGTTTGTGTCTTTTGTGTCTGTGCTTGTGCCTGTGTCCGTGTTTGTGTCCGTGTTTGTGTATGTGCTTGTGTTTGTGTCTGTGATTGTGTCTGTGTCTGTGTCTGTGTCTATGTCTGTGTCTGTGTCTGTGTCCGTGTCCGTGACCGTGGCTGTGCTTGTGTTTGTGCCAGTGTTTGTGTCTGTGTCTGTGCCTGTGCTTGTGTCCGTGTCCGTGTCTCTGTGTTTGTGTCTGTGTCTGTGTGTGTCTGTGTCTGTGTTTGTGTCTTTGTCTGTGTCGGTGTTTGTGTCTGTGTCTGTGCCTGTGCCTGTGTTTGTGTCTGTGTCCGTGTCCGTGTCCGTGTTTATGTTTGTGCCTGCGTCTGCGTATGCGTGTGTGTCCGTGTTTGTGTCTGTGCTTGTCCTTGTGCTTGTGCTTGTGCTTGTGCTTGTGTCTGTATCTGTGTTTTTGTCTGTGTCTGTGTCCGTGTCCGTGTCTGTGTCCATGTCTGTGTGTCTGTGTGTCTGTGTGTCTGTGTGTCTGTGTGTCTGTGTCTGTGCTTGTGCATGTGTCAGTGTCTGTGTCTGTGTCTGTTTCCGTGTTCGCGTCTGTGTCCGTGACCGTGTCTGTGTTTGTGCTTGTGTCTGCGTCCGTGCCTGTGCCTGTTGCTGTGCCTGTTCTTGTGCCTACGTCTGTGCCTGTGTCTGTGCGTGAGCCTGTGCCTGTGCCTGTGTCTGTGCCTGTGTCTGTGTCTATGACTGTGTCTGTGTCTGTGTCCGTTTTCGTTTCCGTGTCTGTGTCTGTGTCTGTGCCTGTGCTTGTGCTTGTGCCTGTGCCTGTGCCTGTGCCTCTGCCTCTGCCTGTGTCTGTGTCCGTGCCTGTGTCTGTGTCTGTGTCTGTGTCTGTGTTTGTGTCTGTGTCTGTGTCTATGTCTGTGTCTGTGTCTGTGTCTGTGTCTGTTTCTGTGTATGTGCCTGTGCCTGTGCCTGTGCCGTGTCTGTGTCTGTGTCTGTGTCTGTGTCTGCGTATTCGTCTGTGTCTGTTGTCTGTGTCTGTGTCTGTGTCTGTGCGTTTGCCTGTGCCTGTGCCTCTGTCTGTCTGTGTGTCTGTGTCTGTGTTTGTGTCCGTGTCCGTGTTCGTGTCAGTGTCCGTTTCCGTGTTTGTGTCTGTGTTTGTGTTTGTGTGTTTGTGTGTCTGCGATTGTGTCTGTGTCGTGTCCGTGTGCGCGTCCGTGTCCGTGCCTGTGCCTGTGCCAGTTTTTGTGTCTGTGCCTGTGTCTGTGTCTGTTCCTGTGCTTGTGTGTGTGCTTGTGCCTGTGCCTGTGTCTGTGCCTGTGCCTGTGCCTGTGCCTGTGCCTGTGCCTGTGCCTGTGCCTGTGCGTGTGCCTATGCCTGTGCCTGTGCCTGTGCCTGTGTCTGTGTCTGTGTCTGTGTCTGTGTCTGTGTCTGTGTCTGTGTCCGTGTCCGTGTCCGTGTCTGTGTCTGTGTCTGTGTCTGTGTCTGTGTCTGTGTCTGTTGTTTGTGTCTGTGTCTGTGTCTGTGCGTGTGCGTGTGCGTGTGCGTGTGCGTGTGCGTGTGCGTGTGCGTGTGCGTGTGCGTGTGCGTGTGCGCGTGCGCGTGCGCGTGCGTGTGTGTTCGTGCGTTCGTTCGTGCGTTCGTTCGTGCGTGCGTCCGCGTGCGTCCGCGTGCGCCTGTGTTCCTGGGTGCTTGTGTGTGTGTGTGTGCGTGTGCATGCGTATGTGTGTGCGCGCGTGCGTGTGCGTGCGCCTGTGTTCCTGGGTGCGCGTGTGTGTGTGTTTGTGTGTGTGTGTGTGTTTGTGTGTGTGTGTGTCTGAGTCTGTGTCCGTAGGCCGCGGCGGCGGCAGCGGAAGCCCCGAGCCCGCGGCAGTGGATGCCGACGCCAGTGCGGCAGCAGTTGCCTCGGGGCTCGCGTGCCGCCCCTGTGGCCCGTCTGCGGCCGCGGGCCCCGACGGGCTCCGGGCGGCGGTGAAGCGGGTCGAGTCTCCGCCTCGGCGGGCCCTCGCGGTGGGCCCGCCGCGCCGCCCTGGCAGCCTGCCTGGGTGCGGCGCGCGGGCGCGCTCCTCCGCCGTGGCCCCCCGCCGTGGCCCGCGCTCCCGCCGTGGCCGCGGCCCCTCGAGGCAGCCCCTGCCCATCAGCTTCGGCCGCTGGGTCTGTGGTTCTCTCTGCAGTCAGCCTGCGTGGTAAGGATGGGCCACCGTCCCAAGGGTACCCTTGCAGCATTCCCTCCTCGGCCCGTCCTTCTTCCGCCTTGGCCGCGGCTCCTCGAGCAGCCCCTGCCCCCAGCTTCGGCCGCTGGGTCTGTGGTCATCTCTGCAGTCCACCCGCGCGGTAAGGATGGGCCACCGTCCCAGGGGCACCCTTGCAGCAGTCCCTCCTCGGCCCGTCCCTGGCCACTCGCGCTGGCCGCGCCCCGCCCGGAGAGCTTTGGGATGGGCGTCCAAGGCCCCTGCGTTCTGATCGCGCATCCTTGCTGTACGGGTTGACTGGGCCCTCTCCGTCTGGGCTGTTGATGTTAGTCGTTTCACCTCGTTGGAGCAGCCGCAGCCGCCGTCACGACTCCGGCGAGACGCCTGCCAGGCCCGCTGCGCGACTCGCTCGACTTGTCCTCACTGGCTCGCACTGGCCTGCCCCCCACCCAGGAGCACACTGCCGTTGCTTGAACGCTTGCTTCACGCATTCACTTGCAATTCGCGCCCCGTTCGTGCATCACCAGCTGTTGTTCCAACCTTGCGGAGGAGGGAAGTGTGTGTGTGTGTGTTTCTACGCCCTGTGTATGTGTGCGTGTGTGTGTGTGTGTGTTGCGTGTGTGCGTGTGTGCTTGTGTGTATGCGTACGTGTGCATGCTCCTGCGGGTTCACACCGTCGGCTGAACCGTATTCTCTTTCGCTTACGGGCACGGTTGACGTTGTTGGAGTTGGTGGGGTGTTGGTGTTTTTTTTGCGTGATTATGCGTTGTCGTTCCCCTGTCAGTCATATACGCAACGCTTGATGTGTTCAATATTCTGGTCTGCCGCACTGAGATCTTCGCCACTAGTTTGTGGTATGGCCCCTGCTACTGCCCTCGTCCCGCTTCGCTTGTCTTGCCTCGTCGCATACCATGAGATCGAGCCCCCGTTGAAGTGTTCAGGTCTCTGCTGCCTGTCGCGCCGGTAACTCGGCGAGGGGGGCCGCGGTGATCACATGTTTTGCCCAGCTGCCCGCGGCAAGTACCGCCACCGTGCCAGCCCCGCGTCTTGGGTGGCGACTATCCGAGGGGGCCACGGGAGGCCGTCCTGTGGGATACCTCGGGCCTCCTAGAGGCGTTGGGTGCCTGTTGGGTGCCTTTTTGGGGGCCCTTTCGGGAGCTTCTCGGAGGCCTCTCTGGGCCTCTTGACAGCGTGGTGGGGCTGCCTCGCAGGTTCTTGGGGGCTCGTTGGGGCGTCTTGGCGGTCTCGGCTGTAATCGTGGGGCAGAGGTCTCGAACTGTCAGTTCGTATATCTCCTCCCGGGCCCCTATTATGACCCCGTTGGGCCGCCTTGGGGCCCTCTTGGGGCTCCTTGGGCCATCCTGGGGCAATCTAGGGGGCCTCTTGGACTGTCTTGGAGCGTTGGGAGACAGAAGAGACGAATCGTTCACATCTTTTCAACACTTGAGGTCACTCACTGTTTTTTGCGTTCTTCGGCCGTCTGGACGCTTTCACAGTCCGTCATGGGGGGCTCTCTGGGTCGTCTTGGGGCCCTCTTGGGTACTTCGAGGGCCGTTTGAGGGCCCCCTTGGGCCGACGTTGGGTCTTCTTGTTGCGCCGTTCTTGGGCCACTATGCAACCCTCTTGGTGCCGCCTTGAGGTTCTCGTGAGCCTTCTTGAGGGCAGCTTGGGCCGTTTTGAGCTCACGGAAGTCCGAAAAGGTGAGACCGCGATAATACATCAAACAACGAGAAATCAAAGATGTCGGCAGCTTTGAACCTTGCTGTCGGTTCTCTTGGAGCTCTCTCGGGCCGTCCTGGAGAGCTCTTTCGGCCGTCTTCAGGCCATCTTGGGCCGTCTTGGGGCCATCTGGGACTGGTGGCCTGCCAGGTCCGTCTTGGAAGCCATCTTGGTCATCTTTGGCGCCTTGGAGAAAACCAGGGAGGTGTCGGCCCAGCCAGGAAGCCTCGGGAAGGGGGGGGGCGATGCGCCTGACTGGATGCCAGTAGAGGGGGGGTGGCCCTGAGAAGTCCACAGGAGCCCTGCCAGGCAGCACCTGGCAACCTACCGCGCCTCAAATGTGCCAAGGGGCACGGTGGCGGAGAGCAAGATCTCTTGCGCAGGGCATGTGCCAGAGCTGGTCTTGGGAGGCCGGGAGCGCACGGGGCGCGCAGGCACTTTTCTCTCGGGCCCAGCACCTCTGCCCCTCCTCCCCTCCCCCAGCTGAGCAACGGAAGACAACGGGTCCGACTGCGCCGACGTTTGCGCGTAAGCTGCTCGTGCAAGGCCGCGGTCGTTTCCAGGGTAGTGTGCCGCGCTGGTGGCCCGCGTAGGCCACCGCGTGAGGTCGCTACGCCATCTCGCGTAGGACCCCTTGCTTTTTCATCGCACAGTTGCCCACGCCGCCCCTCTCCCCATCTGCCCCTCTCCCCTGCTCGCCCGTCCCTCCCTTAACCCCTCCTTCCTCTCTTCTCTCTCCCCCTTGTACCTTCCCTTGCCTTTCTCAATTTCCTCGAGTTTCCTGGCACTTCTTATTCGCACCTTTCCCCTTCAGCCTTCATTTCTCGTCCTGTCCGCCATGTCTGCCTTCTCACTCTCGGGACCTAAAGCCACAGTGCACTGTTCGGGATGGTTTCGCTAGGCCTCTCGACCCTCACGTTATCCATGGTGTTCCCTGATTAGACAACCAGTCGTGACGGGACTGCCGACTTTCAATGTCGTGTGGGGGGGCTTGCCCCCATCTATGCGCACGGCGGTCATAAGTCATCAGAGTGCAGGTGAGACTCGACCAGAGGCTGAGTACCACCACCACCAACAACAACAACAACACCTCGCCGTAATTATCGTCGCCGTCACTCCCAGACATCCGGCGTCCCGTTTTCTCGAGAAGCGGGCTCCCCCTTCCCCGGGACCGGTGTCTCACCCCGAGCAGGTTCTGCCAGCCCCGAGGCCCGGCAAAGGCCCTGAGGCATAGAACATTGTGAAAAGATCGGGACGCCAGATGTCTGGACTCGATCCTCCTCCTCCTCCTCCTCCTCCTCCTCCTCCTCCTCCTCCTCCTCCTCCTGCTCCTCCTCTCCCTCGTAGCCCTCCCGAACCCTCGAGTCCAGCCCTACCTTGCTTCGGAGCGCCAGGACGAAGTCGCGCGTGAACAGCTTCTGCCTGATCTGGGAGGCGTTCCTCCTGGAGGGGAGGGGCTCCTCCTGGAGGGGAGGTCAGGCGACAGGTGAGGGGAGGGGAGGGGTTCCTCCTGGAGGGGAGGGGTTCCTCCTGGAGGGGTTCCACCTGGAGGGGAGGGGGTCCTCCTGGAGGGGAGGAGTTCCTCCTGGAGGGGAGGGGCTCCTCCTGGAGGGGAGGGGAGGGCTGGAGGGAAGGGGAGGGCTGGAGGGCAGGGGTTCCCTCCTGGAGGGGAGGGGTTCCTCCTGGAGGGGTTCCTCCTGGAGGGGAGGGGTTCCTCCTGGAGGGGAGGGGTTCCTCCTGGAGGGGTTCCACCTGGAGGGGAGGGGTTCCCTCCTGGAGGGGAGGGGTTCCTCCTGTGAGCAGCCTCTGCCTGATCTGGGGGGCGTTCCTCCTGGAGGGGAGGGCCTGGTCGGGGTGCCCGCTCCTGCCCTCTGCCCTTTGCCCCCTGCCCCCTGCCCCTCGTGGAGTATCGAGGAGGAGGATCGAGGAGAAGGATCGAGGAGGAGGATCGAGGAGGAGGAGGAGGAGGAGGAGGAGGAGGAGGAGGAGGATCGAGGAGGAGGATCGAGGAGGAGGATCGAGGAGGGGGAGGAGGAGGAGGAGGAGGAGGATCGAGGAGGAGGAGGAGGAGGAGGATCGAGGAGGAGGAGGAGGAGGAGGATCGAGAAGGATCGAGGAGGAGGAGGAGGATCGAGGAGTGTTATTTTATAGCAAGAGTGACTGGGTTCGAGGATCGAACGTGGAGGAGCAGGATCGAGGAGGAGGAGAAGGATCGAGGAGGAGGAGGAGGATCGAGGAGTGTTGATTAGGTATACACGCTGGTCGCTGAAAGCAGGTATTTCTGGTTTCCATATCCCAATCTACTTTAAGCGCCTTCCTACTTCAAGAATCGACACGCTCTTGCTGTGTGTTTTTTTATCCTCTGGGGGGGCCTGGACCCAATCAACTTGATCCGCCTTCCTACTTCATGCTTTTACCTACTTCTTCCGACCGACGTGTATCGAGGAGAAGGATCGAGGAGGAGGATGAGGATGACCGAGGAGTGTTAATTAGGTATAACGAGAGTGACTGGGTCAGGCGGGTGGTCGTGTTATCGTTAACCAGCGTGCGTCGCGATCGACGCCGTGTGGCTCGAGTGATTGGTCGTTCACGCTCGTGTCGTTCGCATCGGTCGTAGAAAACATCTTTATCGTTCCCGTGCCTGTCCTCCCCGAGGACTTGCATGGTAGAGGAGCGGGGTTAACTCGTGAACGATGGCGGGTGCTGCCGCTGCCGCAATTGCTGTAGAGCCAGGAATCCGGGGCGTGAGTCAAATACGCCACAAGTCAGGGGCAGGTGCTTTAACCTGAACCTGGCCGGGTTTACAAAGTTGTGCCGCAGCTGCAGCCCTCCGAATTGCACCATGGAAAATCTGGGTTCCCAAAACGAATTGTTGAATCTCTCACAAACTTGTAAAAACCGACCACAGGTCACATTGTCCGCCCGGGCCGGGTGCGCCAACTGGGAGCTGGCGGTAAACCGTCAACCAGGTTACCGCCAGGGCCCTCGTAGAGCTCTTCACACTTCGAAAGAGGCTCAGAATACGACGAGAAAGCCCTCGAATATCAGCTTAAAACTCAAAACATGTATTTTTCGTTTCAAACGGGACTACGTCCGCCAAGTGTTTGAATAGTAATACTGAAGCTAGAGACCTGAGAATTCGACAGGCAAACGCGTCATAATCCAGTACAGGTGCGGAGGATACTGGAGCTGTGTAGTTCGCTTCCTTATTTCGTTAATTTCACGAAACCAGTAACATCTGGGAACATGCATCCCGACGGCCGATGGTTCCTCGTGATTTTCGAGAGGTGCACTACAGCTGCAGCCCTCAGACTTTTACCACAGAGCGCGCCATAATACACTACAGGGAATAAACATCGGTTTCAAAACGAATTGTCAAATCTCTCAGAATCTTCAAAAAACCGACCCCAGGTCGTCACATTGTTCGCCCGGGCCGGGTGGGCCAACTGGGAGCCGGCGGTAAACCGTCAACCAGATTAAGATTACCGCCAGGGCCCTCGTAGAGTTTTACACTTGGAGAGAAGCTCAGAATAAAAGAGAACGCCCTCGAATACAGCTTAAAACATAGAAACATGTATTTTTCGTTTCAAACGAGACTACGTCCGCCAAGTGATTTAGTAGTAATACTCAAGCTAGAGACCTGAGTATTCGACAGGCGAACGCGTCATAATCTACTACAGACGCAGAGGATACTTGAGCTGTGTAGTTCGCTCCTTGCTTTCTTCAAGTTCACGAAATCTTCACCATCTGGAAAAATGCTTCCCGACCACGGATCGTTCCCCCCAACTTTCGAGAGCTGCGCTACAGCTACAGCCCTCAGACTTTCACCACAAAGCGCGTCATAATCCACTACAGGGAATGAACATCGTTTTTTCCAACGAATTGTCAAATCTGTCACAACCTTCAAAAAATCGACCCCAGGTTGCCACATTGTTCGCCCGGGCCGGGTGGGCCAACTAGCTCCACCCCGCGCCGGAATTCTTTTAGCTCATCGATGCCGAACAGCTCTACGAGGTACTAGCTGCACCCCGCGCCGGAATTCCTCTAGCTCATCGGTGCCGAAGAGCTCTACGAGGTACTAGCTCCACCCCGCGCTGGAATACCTCTAGCACATCGATGCCGCAGAGCTCTACAAGGTACTAGCTCCACCCCGCGCCGGAATTCCCCTAGCTCGTCGATGCCGGAGAGCTTTACGAGGTATCACTCTCTAGCAGCGCCGCTTCGCTCTCAGGGAAGTTCTACGACTTATTACACTCCAGCTTCGCCGTCTCGCGCTTAGGGGAGCTTTACGAGTCATTACATTAAGTCGATTGCCGACGTCTTTTGTAGTCATATTGCAGCTGCTGGGCTCATAGCGAGATGACGAACGGAGCATGACTCGCTGCGTGACACAGAGAAAGCTCATGCCAGCTGAGATTTTCTAAGAACATCGACTTGAATCCCCGAAACATGAAATTTATGGTGTCAGCAATAAGTTGATCAGTTCCTCCTAGTGTTTAGATCGAAATATTGCACCTACAGATTCAATATTGAGATGGCGAGCGCGGCATGACTTGCTACAGGGAAGAAAAAACGCGTTTCTAAATATAACCTTTCCAACCTCTTCAAATCTCAAGAAAACCGAGCCCATGTAGTCACATCTTCTTTCCGGGACGGGTGGCCCAACTAGCTCCATCCCGCGCCGGAATTCTTCTAGCTCATCGATGCCGAGGAGCTCTACAAGGTACTCGCTCCACCCTGCGCCGGAATTCCTCTAGCTCATCGATACCGAAGAGCTCTACGAGGTATTACTCTCTAGCTTCGCCGCTTCGCTCCTAGGGAAGCTCTACGAGTTATTACGGAGTTCAAGTCGTTGTTCAGTTGTAGCTCTGTTAGCAGACCAATCGCAGACGTCCCCAAACTGTAGAGCACTCCGTCTGTTGATTTCCTGGCGGTGTATCCAAACCGTCCCTCATGTACCCCGTAGAGCTCTTCGGCGTCGATGAGCTGGAGGAATTCCGGCGCGGGGTGCAGCTGGTACCTCGTAGAGCTCGTCGACGCCTCGTAGAGCTTCTCGACGTACCTCGTAGAGCTCTTCGGTATACCTCTTAGAGCTCTTCGGCATACCTCGTAGAGCTCGTCGGCTTCGATGAGCTAGAGGAATACCTCGTAGAGCTCTCGGTATACAAAGAGCTAGAGGAATTCGGGTCCGTAGCCATTTTGGCTCAAGCTATTTTGGCTCAAGCTGCCCGCCGTCAGGGGCAGCAGCAAAGGACGCATCCTCAGGATACTGTATCGCCTCTTTTCAGACTTACTACCTAGTTCGCGTCAGACTGATGGCCGCGCCGGTGAAACTCGCCATCGCGCTCGCGGCAGCCGCCATGGCAAGCGAGGAGGGTTCCGACTCCAACCTCATGCAGTTAATTGCGGCGGGCGAGACGCAGGTGGAGACGAAGAAGAGTTCAGTCAGCTGTTTTTTCACGATGGACAACAACGTCTACGGTGTGTATTTGGGCAGTACAGCACTCAGCACCAGCGGAAATCGGAACAACTGGGAAAGAGTCAAGACTGTCACGTTCACTCCTGACGGGAATTACTTAACAATTTCTGGGTATGATTTTGAGGGATCTATGTGCACGACTGGTGGCTTCGCTATCGACTGCACCAATGGTGTAAATGGGAACTCAGGGTGGCAGGCTTACGGCAGTTCGAGCACCATTGATTACACCCACCAAACGGGCGGTGGGAGTTCCTGGGACGTTCCTTCCAGTTCGGGAAGCGGGTTTTATCCGTAAGGGCTTCGCCCCCTGCCGCCGGCCCCCTCTCTCGGAGAATGGGCCATGGAAGAGCTAAGTCATGAGGCCTTGGCGCTGTCGTGAAGCAGTATCGAAACTTCATGCGAAGCCGATTCGCAATCAGCAAAACCAACTGATCACAAGAGGGGTTACCACACCTGGCGATTGGTAAGACGTGTATGGTTTACGGGCTTGGTTACCACACCTTGCGATTAAAGGGCCGAGGGAGTTCTCGCAGTTTGGGTTACCACGCCTTGCGATGGATGTGCGTGAAGGGTGGCACCGAATTTCAGAAATGTGGCAAATCCCCTGTGTTTTTGGACCCTGACCCCGCGGATCTGCGTAAGGGGTGGCGCCGAATTTCAGAAATGTGGCAAATCCCCTGTGTTTTTGGACCCTGACCCCGCGGATCTGCGTGAGGGGTGGCACCGAATTTCAGAAATGTGGCAAATCCCCTGTGTTTTTGGACCCTGACCCCGCGGATCTGCGTGAGGGGTGGCACCGAATTTCAGAAATGTGGCAAATCCCATGTGTTTTTGGACCCTGACCCCGCGGATCTGCGTGAGGGGTGGCACCGAATTTCAGAAATGTGGCAAATCCCGTGTGTTTTTGGACCCTGACCCCGCGGATCTGCGTGAGGGGTGGCACCGAATTTCAGAAATGTGGCAAATC